CTTATTTCAACTAATTAGATAGGGACTGTCAAAAACGCCAATACCCGCTACTATGCCGCCTTCGTCTTCGCTCAATGCTTTGGTTCTTAAAATATGTCCAACGTATTAATTTAGTATTATCTCATTACTATCCCTAAAAACAGAATAGAATAGTATATACGAATGGTATTAATGTCATCTATATATTTATTAGCAAATAATATAATCGTTAAAATGTATACTCTACTATTACTCCATATATGCAAAGTTCTGTTATAATATTTGATAAGTCAACGTTATATCTTTTAATGGCGATTCCTCAGCAGTATTTATCAAATTATTTTTCTGTAAAGGAGAATAAATGCGATCATTGAGCATCCATGCAGTTCTCTTTTGCGATTCTTTCACCGAATGTAACCACGCTTTTATATTCTCATTTATATGTACATTATTCCAATACCTTCTTCTTTTTGTGGTTTGAAAATGAATTTGTTTCATTTGTACCCATTTTTACTGCCTTTTCTCCATCATTATTGTGTTACTAAAATAAATACAAAATAAATACATTATTTAGATGATTTTTATATACTTATATTATACATATAGGCCTTCTCGCAATGGCCTTAAAGCACATGCCGCAGAGTTGCCACTGATGATGATTATGTGTCTTCTGATGTGCGCGAAGATTCAAGTTGCAATAATCTCAATATTAATTAATCGCGTGTCATTCTTTGATAGTAATTATAACATTCCAGTACCAATTTATTTTCAAATAGAACGAGAACGAAATCAAGATTATCATCGCTTCCTCTTTATCCCGGCAATTTTTTGATAGCTTTTTATATATCTTTTGTTTATTTAATAATTAAACTTTTTATTTTAAATTTTAATCAAAATTTTTACTCTTTTCCTTTTTAATGTCCATTTATGTAAAATGTAGATTATTATCTCAGTTGACCTATTTTTTGTATCCTTGTCTAGTTCCAATTAGGAATCAGAAAAAAAGAGAGTCAGAAATCGAAATTAAAGTTAATCTACATTGATGGAAATAGCGACAAGCGTTAGAAAAATATGCAAATCAAAAAGATATGTATAACATTGTTTTTCATTTACATAGGTTGTGCAAAGCTCGATGTCGTATTTTACGTCATTGTCATCCTTTGACGTGTCATGATCGACACTTAAGGATTATGACAGCAAATATTAAAATATCTCTGAAGTATTCCACAGGACTATATAGTATTACAATTTATACATTAAATAAAATAATGTTTATATTTGTTATTATTTAATAAAAGTAATACAATTTTAATTTTTTTATCAATATTGAAACAACCAAAAAATTTTTCCTTCAAATCTTTTTCGAAAGCTTGGAATACTTACGACACATTCAGACGCTCTCCAATAGAAAGTATTCATTCGCACTATTTTATTCTGATCGATACGTGCTCTCTAGTGGGATTTTGTAAAATCAATTATCAAAGAAACAAATATCATCTGGGTAAATTCTCATAGTAATGTATAGTAATGTTCATATTGACTACCATATCGATATCTGGCTAAAATAGTAAAATCTTTTAAATGTTGTTCACTATCATGACTTGGACAACATATATCAAGATCAAGGCCATTAAAGGTTGTTGGTCTTATTTTCATCTTTGAATAAATTAGTTTTACTTTTTGAAAAAAAAGAGGAACAACCTCCAATGGTCATAATATTGATTATATTGTCGAGCTCCTGAACATCATTAAAAAGGTTTTAGCCATTGTTCAGACACCTTGGATAATGTTAATGCCGGCGGTACTATAACTTTCAAGTTTCATAACTCGACATTTATTTAATCAAAAAACATTTTATCTATGTTTTGGAAAGCTCTCGAGATAAGCTACAATAATACGCAATAAAAAATGGGAAGTTCGATTTAAACAATTCAAGGTGACCTTAAGTTTTTTATTAAAAAACTTTTTTTTTCAATTTTTATTTATCGTATGCCGTCTTCTGCTTGAAGA